TGGTGCCCACCTTTAATCCCAGCACTTGGAAGCAGAGACAGGTGGATCTTCCTGAGTTGGAAACTAGCCTGGTCTATAGAAGAAGTGCCAGGACATCAGAGCTATTACACAGAGAAACCTTGTCTTGAAAAACCAAACCAAACCAAAAGGGAGAGAGGGGATATAACCATAATCACCTCCTAATTCCTTTAAAGTTATCTTACACAAAAAGCAATGCTGGGGGGGTTGGAGAGGTGGCTCAGTGGTTAAGAGCACTGACTGTTCTTCCAGAGGTCCGGAGTTCAATTCCTGGCAACCACATGGTGGATCACAACCACCTTGAATGAGATCTGGTGCCCTCTACTGGCATGCAGGCAGAAGACTGCATACACAATAAATAAGTAAAGTATTTAGCTGGGCGGTGGTGGCGCATGCCTTTGATCCCAGCACTCGGGAGGCAGAGGCAGGCGGATCTCTGTGAGTTCCAGGCCAGCCTGGTCTACAGAGCGAATTCCAGGACAGCCTCCAAAGCCACAGAGAAACCCTGTCTCAAAAAACCAAAAAAAAAAAAAAAAGTATTAAAAAAAAAAATCAATGCTGGCCTTCATGAGACCTGTCTCAAAAGAAAAAAAAAAAGACACAAAAGAGCAAAAAACTCTACACTGACAGTATTTCAGAGAATTCTGATGGAAGGTTTCTGAGTTCCTGCCATCTCAGATAATGAGAATCATCTCGAGATGCTCTTCTTAAGCAGGTACCTCTTGTAAATTCAAACTGTGTTGTCTCCTGCTCAAACTCTGAACTTCCTCAAATAGTACAATGTTACTCTTGCCGTTTCCCTTCTGTTGAGCAGCACAAGCTCATGCACCAGCCACCTAGAGAGAAAATGGAAACTCCGGGCTGAGGATGCAGCAGCATGGGCATGTGCCTGCTGAGGCCCTGGGTCCCATCTCTAATGCCGGGAGGTGGGGGTGGGATGTAGGAAAGAAAATGAACAGAATAAAGGAGACTACCATAATCACGCAAACAGTATAAAGGAGACTACCATCATCACGCAAAGACAACTGAGTTCTTGCAAGTTGTTTTTTGTTTTATTTTGAGACAGGATTTCTCTGTCTCAAGGGAATGGGTGTGCAACATCCTCTTCCAGCCTCCATAATGCATAAAGGAATACACAATAATAAATAAATACAATAAACAAACTTAAAGAGGAGACTCTGAGAGGAGAGCTATAGCAGCAAAGTGTTTACCTTGAAACATGAGGCCCCAAGTTTAATGGCCAGACCCTTACATCAGAAACAAGCTGGGCTTAGTGACATACACTTATAATTCCCACACTCAGGAAGGCAGTGTGCATCCCAAGGCTCATTGGGCTCCAGGCCAGTGAGAGACCCAGTCCTTTTTTTTTTTTTTTTTTTTTTTTCGAGACAGGGTTTCTCTGTATTGTTTTGGAGACTGTCCTGGAACTCTCTCTGTAGACCAGGCTGGCCTCGAAATCACAGAAATCTGCTTGCCTCTGCCTCCCGAGTGCTGGAATTAAAGGCATGCACCACCAACGCCCGGCAAGACCCAGTCTTATTAAAACAAAACAAACAAACAAAAACAAACTTTATACTAATCAAGTACAGTATAGGACAAAAGATACCAAAACATCATAAAATCATTATCTCTGCCATGGGAGCCTACCATTAGCTAGAAAAAGATACATACATATTGGACTGTGCACTCTTTAATAAAATCTGGTAGCCGGGCGATGGTGGCGCACTCCTTTAATCCCAGCACTCGGGAGGCAGAGGCAGGCGGGTCTCTGTGAGTTCGAGTCCGGGCTGGACCGACAGCCCCCAAAACAATACAGAGAAACCCTGTCTCGTAAAAACCAAAAAAAAAATAAAATGAAATAAAATAAAATCTGACACTTGGAAGGTAGAGGCAGCTGGATTTCTGTGAGTTCAAGACTAGCCTGGTCTACACAGTGAGATCCTGTCTCAAAAGAACAAAAACAAACAAAAGCTACACATACTCCTAATTCCACCTGTCCTGTTTTTCCCCCACATATGCCTTCTTCACTCACAATTATTGCCAACCTATTTAGCTCCTTAGTTGCAGCTGCCCACTAACACCTACCCCTGTATATCCCTCAGTAACTTGACCTCAATACACCAGGCCCAACTAATTTCTTTCCATTGCCACCCAACTTTTAAAAGTTTGCTCTGTTAGGAATATAACATAGTGATAAAGCATTTACCCATTATAAACAAGGCCCTGGGTTTGAAAACCAGAACAGGGAATATAAAATGTTTTCTGTATGCTAAAATACAGACTCTCAGTCGTATGCCCATCCTAGTAAATGAAATTTCATCCATGCATTCCTGAAGTCAGAAAACCTTAGTCCACACTCTTCCTGGTCACATGGCACCTACCTTAAAACTATTTCTAAAATCCATTCTGCTCTCCTTCTTACCACAGCCAAGTTCTTCTAACTCTTACTCACTGTAACAACTCTAGTCTTATCTTTCATTATCTATTTTCTTTTTTTGTTTGGTTTTTTTTTTTTTTTCGAGACAGGGTCTCTCTGTATTGTTTTGGAGGCTGTCCTGGAACTCGCTCTGTAGAGCAGGCTTGCCTCCAACTCACAGAGATCCGCCTGCCTCTGCCTCCCGAGTGCTAGGATTAAAGGCATGCGCCACCAACGCCTGGCTCATTGTCTATTTTCTTAATCTGCACTTCTGTCACTCTCTAAAAATGTTACAGGGCTAGAGAGATACCTCAGCTGCTAAGAATACTGAGTCCTCCTCCAGAGGACCAAGGCTCAATTCCCAGTACCCACATGGCAACTTACAGCCATCTTTAGCTTCAGTTACAGGGGATCTGATGTCCTCTTCTGGCCTATGTAGGCACCAGGCACACATGTGGTACTCACACAAACAAGTAGGCATACATACACATGAAAGTCAGTGGCTTCCCACCCTCTTTTCAATCTTGCCTCCAGACGATTCCCCCACATACATCCTGTTTGATGAACTTCTGACCCCCACATAAACACCATATTGGTCCCAGTACTTGGGAGGCAGAGACAGGTGGATCTCTGTGAATTCGAGGCCAGACTGGTCTACAGAGTGAGTTCCAGGACAGCCTCCAAAACAATATAGAGAAACCCTGTCTCGAAAAACCAAAAAAAATAAAAAAATAAAAAAAATAAACACCATATTGGTTTTCTTCCCTTCACACTTTACGCCATGCCTCCGCAAAGGCTGTTCTCTCCAACCCCAAAGGCTGATTGTGCAAGCTCCTACTTAACTTTCAGTACACAGTTCAAATACATCTCCCCTACAAAGATCTCCTGACTTTGGGGCAAATGCAGTGTTCCCTTCATGATGTACAAATATCTTTACACAGATTTGTAACACACACTCCCTAGAGAACTTTGTCTAAATATGCCTGATCGTTCTTTAAAAATGATTCAGGCAGTGGTAGTGCACACTCGGGAGGCAGAGGCAGGCGGATCTCTGAGTTTGAGGGCAATCTGGTCCACAGAGCAAGTTGAGGACAGCTAAGGCTACACAGAGAAACCCTGTCTTGAAAACAACAACAAACAGCATTCCAAGCTGTCAATTTTTTGATATGTGTGTTTGTATCTGTGTATGGGTATATGTTCAAAAGTACAAGTGTCCTCAAAAGCCAAAGATCAGATCCTGGGGACTTAAGTTACAAGCGGCTGTGAGTTTCCTGGTAAGAGAGCTGGGAAGCAATGTAGGAGCAAGAAACTGAACTGGGATCTTCTGAAAGAGCAGTACACACTCAACTCTGAGCCCCATCACCGCCCCAAATCCTGGGTTTTGAGGTGCTATCTGGGGTTTGTTTTCACGTTTAGTCATTTTCGGGACTAGGCTGCTCCGGCGGGCCTTGAACTCAAGGTGTATCTCAGACTGGACTCGCATCCACAGTCATCCTCCTACGTGCTGAGATTAATATTAAACATGACAAGGCACAATGGCTGTCATACTGAAAACACAGTAAGGGCTTGCTATTCATTAAGAAAAGAATGAGAACTCCCTTTACACTCCTAAAACGAGCTGAAAGCCTTCCCATGAAAATGACCATGTATACATATCCAATCGAACTCGTACCAAAGACGATGCCAAGTAACTCTGTGCTAAATCGCGGGCAAGAAAGAAGCCTAGCACGGTGGGAGTACCCTGAAATCACAGCATTTGGAAGGGAGAGACAGAAGGATTTCCCCAAGTTGGAGGTTAGCCTGGTCTACATAGCTAGTTCCAAACCGGCCAGGGGATACATGGCTACGTTTGGTAAACCATGTTTAAATACCACGCTTGCCCTGTTTTACATGGAAAATGCTCTTAAGTTGAAAACCCTTTCCGGAAAAAAAAGAGCCCGGGAAGTTCCGACAGTCCAGGAACATTTATTAGGACATGGCTCAAGTATCCATCCACTGTCCCATTCGCCAGGGACAGCACTCTCCACTTCCCCAGCGGCTGTTCTCTTTCTCCGCCACACCCGCCGGGGAAGAGCTGGGTTTCCCGGCTTGCATCCCTCATCCCAGGAAAGCAAAGTGGGCTTGTTAACTCTGCGTGAAGCGGGTGCTGAAGGCTGCCGGGCGGAGACTGAAGCGCACGGGATCAACACTTCGCAGGGGCCGGGCTCCCTAGGAGGAGCAGCTCCCTCCTAGGAACTGACCTCTTAGGGTCAGCCCCGCGCTGGGGTCAGAGGTCAGCGCCTCGCCCGCCCGCAGGCCACGGAGCGACCTCCGAGGGGCAGGACCAGGCCGGTAGCGGGCGTTCGAAAGCAGCGGGGAGCGAAGCCGCTCCACTCCCCGGCCCCAGGCCCGGCCCAGCCGCCGCGAGCGGCCCCGGCAGCTGCAGCCCCCCTCTGCCCCGTCGGCCCCGCGTCCCCGCGGCAGGTACAGGCCCCGCCCCCAGGGCCGCCTCCGGGTCCAGGCCTACTAGGGCCGACCCGCGGGGGTAGGCCAGGTTCCAGGACCCGGCTGGGCCCGCGCCGCTTACCGGGCCCCCCGCTCCTCCTCCAGCACCCCAGCTGCTCGCAGGCCTGCTCGCTCCCGACTCCGGCAACGCCGCCACTGCTCCGGAATCGCCGGCGCGCTCCCGACCTCCCCGACCCTTAGCCCTAGTCCGCCGTGCCCCGCCGGGTCCTAAAACCCTCCTTTCCTCACGCCCGCTTCCTGAAGCGGACTCAGACCACGATTCCCAGCAAGCATCGCAAAGACTACAACTCCCAAAAGACATCGCGAGCGAACTAGCCCTCGCTTATGGTGGCTTTAAATCGGCTGTAGCAGGGTTTTGTTTTTGTTTTTGTTTTTGAATAGGGAAGACCCGGAACTTAGCAGTTCTTTCTACAAACAAATGTATCCTCTAAAAATACTGGCAAAGCTTGGAAAGGTATTATGTTGCGAAATGTTTGTTTCGTCTTATTTTTTTTTTGAAACAGACTTTCTTTATGTAGCCTTGACTGGCCTGGAACTGGCAATTTAGACCAGGCTGATCTTTATTCTCCTGCCTTTGCCTCCTGAGTGTGAAATTAAAGGCCTGGGCCATCACCACAGCATATTGCAACCGTTTAAATGAAATATTCGACAGGTAGATTTCAACGAGTTTAAGGCCAGCATGGTCTATGAGGTGAGTTCCAGGATAGCCAGGACTTTCACATAGAGAAGCTTTGCCTCTAAATAAATAAATAATAAAACAAAAGTTCTCTCCTGGCAGCCCTGGCACTACTCACTCTGTAAACCAGGTTGGCATGAGAGATCCGCCAACCTCTGCGTCCCTAATGCTGTAATTAAAGGCATGTGCCTACAGCCCAATTTGTTTGTTTGTTTGTTTTTGGAGACAGGGCTTCTCTGTGTAGCTTTGGAGGCTGTCCTGAAACTTGCTCTGCAGACCAAGCTGACCTTGAACCCAAAAGAAATCCGCCTGCCTCTGCCTGGAGAGTTCTGGGTTTGAAGACATGGAACACTGCCCGGCTGTAGCCCAATCTTACAGAGGCATTTTCTCAACTGGGGTTCCCTCTTCTCAGATGACTCTGCCTGTGTCAAACTGACATAAAATCAGCCAGCACAGGTACTCTAATAGAATATAAAACAGGTAGCCAGGCATGATGTTTCTTTCACGCCTGTTAATCCCAGCCTTGGGAAATAGAAGGATCCGAGATTCACAGTTAACTTCATCTTTATGGAGAATTCAAGGGCAGCCTGTGCTACAAGACACCCTATTTTTAAAAAATAGAAGTGAAAATAGGGAGTGCGGGTGGAGAGACGCCTCAGCGATCAAGAGCACTGATGGCTCCTCCAGAGGATCTCGGTTTGGTTCCCGCACCCACGTGGCCGCTCACAGCCTCTGTAACTCCCATCGTGGCACCATCTCCTGGCCTCTGAGGGCACCAGTCACACACGAGGTACACATGCATAAAGGCAAAACACTCATACACATTTAAAACAAAAGAAGGGAAGGGGAAGAGGAAAATGGGAGAGAGGGAGGAAGGCAGGAAAGCAGGGGAAATGAAGCATGGGAGGGAATCATGCTTTGAATGATCAGGATAAATAAAGACACTCGACTTTAATTTAGCCAGTAAGTTCGGTCTCAAATCAAAAGGCTTTAAGTCTTAGTCAAGGAATGTAAAGTTAGCTCAGCAGTGGTGGCACTCAACTTTGGTTCTAGCACTTGGGAGGCAGAGACATACCAATCTCTGAGTTCAAGGCCAACCTGCTCTATAGAGTTCCAGGACAACTAGAGCTACACAGAGAAACCCTGTCTGGGAAATAAAAACTAACCAGACGGGGGCTGGAAGATGGCTCAGAGGTTAAGAGCACTGACTGCTCTTTCCAGAGGTCCTGAGTTCAATTCCCAGCAACTACATGGTGGCTCACAACCTGGTGCCCTCTTCTGGCCTGCAGGCATGCATGAAGTGCTGTATACATAATAAATAAAATCTAAAAAAAAAAAAAAAAACTAACCAGACAAACAAAAAGATGAAAAAAAGACCTACAGCAACAAAAGCCCCTGGAGGAAAAATATTTGGGGGCAGAAAGATGATATTAAAGGCATGTTAGGATCAAAATGTTTGTGAGATGTCTAGACAGAAATATCTACTAGACATATAGATGCCCTTTGTTGGTACTCAGCTGAACAATTAGACTGTAGCAAAATACTTTAGAGCCATTGACTTGGAAATAAGGGTTCATGCTAAGAGGAAGGAGAAAATGGCCTGGGAAAGGAGAAGATGAATGAGCCAAAGACAAGACAAAACAGAGGATAAAGCTATCTTAAAGCAAAACCAAAGCAAACAAAAGGACACGGCAGATGAGAGAGACTACAGTATGGACTTTCAGTAGAACTGTCAATGCCTCCAAAGAAACAGGAAATAAAAATATCTTTGAAGCTGTGTGTGACATCACAGGTCTGCAAATACCAATACTGGGGAGGCTGAAGCAAGACAATGCAGAGTTCAAGGCACATAGTCTACCAAGTAAGTTCAAGGTCACTTGGAGCTACATAGGGAAACGGTTTCAGATACCCAAAATGCAGAGGCTGGAGGGATGACTCAAACATTAAGATACTTGACCAGGCCGGGCGTTGGTGGCGCACACCTTTAATCCCAGAACTTGGGAGGCAGAGGCAGGCAGATCTCTGTGAGTTCGAGACCAATCTGATCTACTGATCGAGTTCCAGGACAGAGTCCAAAACAATACAGAGAAACCCTGTCTCGAAAAACAAAAAAAGAATACTCGATGAAGCCGGGTATGGTGGAGCATGCCCTTAACCAGCACTTGGGAAATAGAGGCCAAGTGGATCTCTGGTACATAAAGCAAGTTCCAGGACAGCTACAGCTGTTACACAGAGAAACACTGTCTTATACAACTCTGATGTGCTGGACATTTAATCCCTGCACTCAGAAGGCAGAGGCAGGAGGAGGATCTCTGAGTTTGAGGCCAGCTTGGACTACAGAGTGAGTTCCAGGACAGCCAGGGTTACTCAGAGAAATTTGGTCTCAAAAAGCCAAAAACACATAATAAATAAATTTATTTTTAAACAAAACAAAAGAAAACCCAAGGCTAGAGAGATGTCTTGGTGATGAGGAGCACTTGCTGAATTCAGAGGAGCGGAATTCAGTTTCCAGCATGCTTTATCAGATAGCCACCAGCCACCTATAACTCCAGCTCCAGGAGATGTCCTATAGCAGGCTTTCTTGGATCACCAGGCCCCAAATCATGATGCAGAGACTTATTAATTATGAAAGCTCCACTTTAGCTCAGGCCTGTTTCTAACTAGCTCTTTATAACTTAAATTAACCCATTTCTATTAATCTGCATGCTGTCATGTGGCCTTTACCTCTCTCCTGCATCTTCTTCCCAGAGACCTCTCTGTCCCCAGAAGTCCCACCTGACCTCTTCCTGTCTAGCTATTGGCCATGCAGCTCTTTTTTGTTTTAAGGATGTATTTATTATATATACAGTGTTCTGTCTGCATGTATGCCTGCAGGACAGAAGAGGACACCAGATCTCATTATAGATGGTTGTGAGCCACCATGTAGTTGCTGGGAATTGAACTCAAAACCTCCAGAAGAGTAGTCAGTACTCTTAACCTTGGAGCCTCTCTCCAGCCCCAGCCATTCAGCTCTTTATTAAACCAATCACAGTAATACATCTCCACACAATGTAAAGGAATATTCTTTAAAAAAATGTCCTCTTCTGGCCTAGTTGAACAGCTACATATACATACATACATACATGCACACACACATGCACACACCAGGCACTAAAATAAATATTTAAGATTTTAATTTCTTTTTTGTTGCTGTTATTTTTTAGGGTTTTGTTTGTTTGTTTGTTTGCTTTGTTTTGTTTTGTTTTCAGACAGGGTTTCTCTGTGTAAGAGTCCTAGATGTCCTGGAACTAGCTTTCAGGCTGGCCTCAAACTCAGAGATCCACCTGCCTCTGATTCCCAAGTGCTGGGATTAAAGGAGAACATCTCTACTGCCCCGACAAGATTTTAATTTCTATTTTTATATGTGTGTGTGTCACATGTGTGTGTCTGGCCTCCTGTAGAGGCCTAAAGATTTCCTGTAACTGGAGTTGCAGGCAATTGTGAGTGGCCTAAGGAGAGTACTAGAAACCAAACTCAGGTCCCCTTGAAAAGCAGATAGTACTCTCAACGGCTGAATCATTGCTCCAAAGCCCCAAACTAAAAATAAATTTTTAAAAAATGACTCCAATTCTAAAAAAAAAAAAAGACCCTAAAAAGGGGAACCTTACCTATAAATCAGTAGATATGGACCAGGGTATGGTAATGAATGCACACACAAGATCAACAGCTTATATTACCAGCATTTGGGAAGCTGAGGGAGAGGAATTGTCAATAGTTCAAAGACAAGTTAGGCTGCAGGGTGAGAATTTGTCTCAAATAAGTAACAATAAAGAACTGAGGAAATGACTCGATAGGTAAGTATGGACTCTTCAGTAGTGCTGACGAACCTAATGGAAGGGTGAACCCGGGAGAGCAGGACCTAAAAGTGAGGCAGTCCGAAGTCTCACGCAATCGCCAACTTTATTCAGAGCATCAGACAATTTATTCTCCGAGGGGTAGGAAGAGCCGTGTGAGTAAAGTGCACAGTCACAAGAGCAAGCCGCTCATGGCAAAGGCACGTCTCTCCACAGAGGGGCAAGAACAAATGACAATGGCCAGCTGTAACAAATCATCTGAAGTGAACTCACGCCTGTCCCGTACACCTGGGAAGCACATGAACGCATAATCCAAGAACAACCCACACCATAGAGGAACAGGGTCTCAGAAGTCTCCCCACACAGTTTCACTCAGGGACCTGGGTTTGATCCTGGGGACCTGTCTTAGTCACTATTCTATTGCTGTGAATAGACACACCACAGCAGCCACTTAAAAGAAAACACGCCGGGCGTTGGTGGCGCGCACCTTTAATCCCAGCACTCAGGAGTTAGAGGCAGATGGATCTCTGTGTGTAGGAGGCCAGCCTGGTTTGCAGAGCGAGTTCCAGGATAGCCTCCAAAGCTACAGAGAAACCATGTCTCGGAAAACAAACAAACAAACAAAAAAACAAAGCATGAAAACCTAGTCCTAACCCCAGCACTTGAGATAGCGATTTGAGCCTGTAATCTCAGCGTGGGAGGCAGAGACAGGAGGATCCCTAGAGTTCATTGCGTGACTAGCACAACCTAATGGGTGAGAGGTCCTTGGGAATGAAGCTGTCTCAAAACAAGGTAGACAGATGGCTCTTGAGGAAAGACGCTGAGGCTGACCTCTGCCTACACAGGAATAAGCATATGGAGGAAGGAGATGCACTAGTAATGAAATTCATTACTTTGTGTACTAACTTGAAATCTAAAAATACGTATAAAGATCAGGAGTGGAGTGGCGCGCGCCTTTAATCCCAGCACTCAGGAAGCAGAGACAGGCGGATCTCTGTGAGTTCGAGGTCAGTCTGGTCCACACAGTGAGTGGAGCATTAACCTTCCTGTTTTCACAGGAGGATGAGGTTTTCTATTTTGCTCGGGGCTGACACAGTGTCAGTACGCAATCTTGATGAACGAGTAAGTTGCGGGTGAAAGGGCGAGACTGGGAAAGAAGGGACACTGTGAGAGACCCTCTCAGTGCCGAGGGTTGACACAGACCCTTGGGTGTTGCGAAGGCCCCGCCCCCGACGATCTTCCCGAAGCTCCTCCCCCGGGGTGCGGCGCTGGCGAGGCGCGCCCCGGGGCAATCCGGACCAGCCGGGCGGAGCGGGGCGGAGTCGACACTCCGGCCAGGGTTTGGCTCACCTCATCCACCAGAGACGGAAGTGCACTCCCCCCGGCACCACGGAGTAGCAGCCGGGCCTCGCCCCACCGGGCGCCCAGGCCTCGGGGAGCTCCTGCGCCGGAGGCATCATGAAGCGTGCGGGAACTCTGCGCCTGCTTTCGGATTTGAGCAACTTTACCGGCGGGGCCCGGCTCCGCGAGTTGTTGGCCGGGGACCCAGATGTCCTAGTCCGCTGCAGCCCTGACGGCCGTCACCTGCTGCTGTTAAGACCCCCCGGGTCACCTGCCCCGCAACTTCTAGTGGCGGTGCGTGGAGCGGGTCAGGCCCTGGAGCGTGCCTGGCCGGAGGGGCACCCCTCGCCGCTGGACGCCTTCTTCATCCCGTGGCTGGCGCGACCTGCCCTGGTCTTGGTGTGGGAGAGTGGCCTCGCAGAGGTGTGGGGCACGGGCATGGAGCCTGGCTGGAAGCTACTTCAGAGCACTGAGTTGTGTCCGGATGGCGGAGCCTGCATCAAGGCCGTGGCAGCAACTCGAGGCCGCCTAGTTTGGTGTGAGGAGCGTCAGCTTGGCGTTGAGGGCCAGCCAGGGCAGCTTTCGATGCCTTTCAGCCACTGTGTGTGCGTCAAGATCCTGGAGACCAGCGGGGAGGCTGGCACCAAACTAGGCCGCACACACATCCTGCTGCGCCACTGCCCGCGTTTTGGACTGATAGCCTCCCGCAAGGACCTCTTCCTGGTGCCCACCACCACCACTTGGCCTGGTGTAGCCCACGTTCTGCTCATCTGGAGCCCAGGCAAGGGCAAGGTGGTAGCTGTCGCCCCATCGCTTGGTCTTTCCCACAGTCAAAGCCTGAATCCCAGACAAGGAGATTCCTGGGATTTTCGGAGCCTGCTGCGAAGCCTTCCTGGGTTCCTGACCCCCAGGGAGCCATTGGCTGTCCACACCTGGGCCCCATCTTCCCATGGCTTGTTGTTGCTTGACTGCAAAGGCAAGGTGAGCCTAGTGCAGAGCCATGGTGGTGCTCGAACTGTGGGAACCTTGCGCGAGGCACCTGTAGGCCTGGAGGGGTCTGCAGCCCTGGGAACATTTCACGGCACCTTAGCCTGTGTCCTGGGCTCCACGTTGGAGCTACTGGACATGAGCAGTGGGCAGCTGTTGGAAAGGAAGGTCCTCAGTACAGACAGGGTGCACCTGCTGGAGCCTCCAGCCCCTGGCGTGAAGACCGAGGAAGAACTGGAGACGCGAGGAGCTCTCTGCTTGCTTTCAGCCTTGGGGCTCTTCTGTGTGGGTTGGGAAACTCCCGAAGGCCTGGAACTACCCCCAGATAAGGACATGGTGTTTGAGGAGGCCTGTGGGTACTACCAGCGACGGAGCCTGCGAGGCACCCAGCTCACCCCCGAGGAACTGAGGTGCAACAGCATGTTTCGGGCACCCCAGGCCTTGGCCTCCATCCTCCAGGGCCACCTGCCCCCATCTGCACTGTTGACTATGCTGAGGGCCGAGCTTCGAGATTACCGGAGCTTAGAGCGGCTCAAGGCCCAACTGGTGGCCGGCGACGAGGAGGAGGCCGGCTGGACTGAGCTGGCAGAGCATGAGGTAGCTCGCCTGCTGAGAACCCAGCTGAGCGGCGACCAGCTGGCCCAACTCAACACCGTTTTCCAAGCCCTCCCTACGGCAGCCTGGAGTGCCACGCTCCAGGCCCTGCAGCTCCAGCCGGATAGAACTGGCAGGCTGAGGTCCCAGGCACCCCCTGATGTGTGGAAGAAGGTGCTGAGGGGTCCGGCGTCTGGAAAGGAGCACCCCAATGGAATACTGCCCCCTTTTGAACTCCTGTGCCAGTGCCTGTGCCGGCTGGAGCCTCAGTGGCTCCCCCCGTTTGTGGAGCTGGCCCAGGAGCAGGGTGGACCCGGCTGGGGGGCTGAAGGCCCCAGTCTACCGCTTTATCGGCGTGCCCTGGCGGTGCTGGGTGAGGAAGGCAAGAGACCAGAGGCCCTGGAACTGGAACTGCTTCTGGGCAGTGGGCGGCCCAAAGCTGTGCTGCACGCGGTGAGGCAGCTGATTGAGAAGGAACAGTGGGACAGGGCCCTGGCGGCCGGGCTGGCCCTGGACTCCTCCAGCCCCCTGCTTCGGAGCGAGATCTTTAAGCTGCTCCTGGCAGAGTTTGCCCGCCACCGCCGCCTTGATGCTCACCTCCCGCTCCTTTGTCGCCTGTGCCCTCCGGAAATGGCCCCGGATGAGCTCCTGCTTTTGCTGAGGACGCATCTCCCCGATGATGTGGGGACCTCCAGCCCTTTCCCTGAGCCTGGGGCAGAGCCGCCTCTCACAGTGGGTTTGGTCAGAGCCCTCCTAGAACAGACCGGGGCTCAAGGCCGGCCCTCTGGTCCAGCTCAAAGCAAATATGAGGACATCCTCTGGGACCCAGGCACTCCACCCCCTACCCCACCTCGTGGACCTATTGCTACTCTGCAGGCATCAGACCACCCAGGACCAGATGCCTGGGTCCCATCTGGACAAGGGCTCTGTGCGGCTGACATGGGAGGTCATTTGTAGACCACAGAGGAGGGGAAGGGCACCTAGGGTTACAGAGTACAAAAGTGAAACTTGTGTGTGCAATACCGTGTTGTGGAACAATTTTTAAAATATATGCAAATACCAAATATATTCACAGTTTTTGTGTTATTTTGAACAGCTAAGGGCTGCAGCTTATAGGCAGAATGGTTGAATCTGGATGTCTTTCCTAAAGCAGCCACTTGGAGTCATGAAAACAGCAGTAATGAGTGTTCCAAATGTGCTAGGTAACCTGTTGCTCTTCATAGAAACCTTGTCTAATGGGAAAGTACGAATGTTATCTCCATCTTCTAGATGAAAGAAATGGCTGTCTAGAAAGATTCAGTAGCTTGGCCAGGTGTGGCAGCGAGAACATAGAGCTTTGAACATGTGAACCATCTCATATGGCCCAATGGACCCTGCTGTTTGGGCCTTGCGTGACCCTCATCCAGTGGGGGCCGTCTCTAGGACTGCAAGGAGAAAATTCCATGGAGCTACAGCTGCCTTTTCCCAGGTCTCTTCTGCCCCTGAGTAGGAACTCTGGTGGGCCCAGAGCCCACACTTACTTCTCCCAGGTTCCATTGAGCAGCCCCTGGTTTCCACAGACAGGTGAACTACCTGCAGAGCCCTAGACTATTGAAGAACAGGGCAAAGCTCTTTGGAGGGCGTCACACTTCTACTCCCTAAGCCGAGAGACGGGAGCAAAAGCAGCCAAGTTCTTGTTTTTCTGGATCTGTTAACAGGATCCCTCTAAAGATGCTGTGCGCTCTGCCTGATTCTACCCAAGTGGCTTCCCTGCCTGCTTGTGGCTTAGTTAGGACCCTGATGCTGCTACTCATCCAAGGTGCCAACCACTCATTGCCCAGGAGGGTAAGAACTGTCACTCAACTTTGTCCTGCAGCTTTGCTCCTATTCAGCCTCACCTGAGGGTCAAATTAGACTTAGGCTCATAATGGTCCAGGGACAGCTGCTCAGAGCTTTCTCTGTTGGTTGGTGTTAGCTCCCCAATCTCACGGGGATCCCAAGACAACTCGTGTGCATGGGCAGCGTGGAGACAGTTTCTCTGCCTCTGCACAGTCTTAGGATAGCACCTCGGTCTCCCCCAAGGCTTGGATGGCTCTTTGCCTGGCCTGACAGCCAGGCTATCTTCCAGTCCCTGGAGTCGAGCTACTGGACTTTAAGCTGTTTCTTCCTTACAGAGACCTAGGGCTAGGAACAGTTCCCCTGGTTTCCATAACAGATCTTTCCTAGTCTGGCAAATGCTCCTCCTCTTGGTCTTGATCTGGGCCCGTTATGTCTCCTCAGTGGGCAGCTGCGCCCTTCTCGGGATCCTATAGTTATAGGCTTCACAGACTTTGAGATTTGACTTGGGCTATCTTCTGTGCCTAGAAAAAATGGAATTATACTCGGCGGCTCTACCGAACATGCAGAAAGAACCAAATTTTTCCTTAGAGTTGTATGACTTAAGGTTCCTCAGGACTACCCATTAATAAGGTTTCTATGTATATGGCTTCCTGCAAGGGTAGTAGGCAGACTTAACTGGAAATTCTTAACCTGCTTTTACAGGCTGGGTGCTTGGTTATATTTACCCTCCAATGTGAACAAACGGTGCAAGCAATCCTAAGCTGCATTGCAAAACGCTGGAGAACATTCCAGGGACGTGATCGTGGGTGGAGTATGTATGTGAGAGGACCTCACAGTAGTGACCGAGTGCTTGAGAGTCAGGATGGAGGCTCTCAGCTACTACTCCGGTGCCATGCCTGCCCGCTGCCAGGCTCGCTGATCTGACGCTCATTGATCCTACCCTATGAGCCCCACATCAAGTGCCTTCATTTGTCAGTTGGTCATGGTGTCTTATCACAATAGAAAAGTAACTAAGACACAGGCCCTTTGGCATGGCTTAGGCCACCTATCATTGAGACTGTTACAATGTCTTTTAGCTGGTAGCTCTGTCTCCTTACATCTCATCTTGTTTATTTGTTTGTTTGAAACTAGGTCTCTCTACCTAGCCCTGGCTGTCCTAGAACTCACTCTGTAGACCAGGATGGCCTCAAACTCAGAGATATGTCTGTCTCTGCCTCATGAATGCTGAGATGAAAGGTGTGTGACACCACACCTGGCTAATCTTGATCTCCCAGAATGTTAGAAAAAAATCTGGGGGACTCTTCCAGAGGTCCTGAGTTCAACCACATGGTGGTTCCCAGCAACCACATGGTGGCTCACAACCATCCATGATGAGATCCGGTGCCCTCTTCTGGGCTGCAGGCAGAACACTGTGTGCATAATAAATAAATAAATCTTAAAAAAAACCCGATGGAGTTCCACCCCCTGCGTTAATATGTGATGTACAAGTCAGAGTCCTGACAGACATCTTCCTTCAAGTCTGGCCCTGCCTTCTTAGATATTCTGTTACCTAGTTATTTGTTTGTCTCCTTAATTAGTGTTCAAGTTTCTTGAAGGCTGATGCCATGGTTACCTGTAATTTTGTGACCTCATCGTTGGATGCAGGATCTAATGGGTGAAAAAGGCCTTCTTCCCATTTCTCCATAGGTCCCACGGGCCCACTGGTCAATCTAGACATAAAAATGCAGGTTGGGCCAGGCAATAGTAGCACACGCCTTTAATCCCAGCACTAGGGAGACAGAAGCAGGTGGATCTCTGTGAGCTGGAGAGTCTACAAAGCTACACAGAGAAACTCTGTCTCAAAAACAAAAAAATGCAGGTTGGTGTAAAGCACGGAATAGATGATCTGGGCAGTGTTAGGGACAGTGCAACAGCTAAGCCAGAATCGTCTTGGGAGATGGGATAGAAGGAAATGGTTGAACAAGAGGGACCTCTTATTTGAGGTCATCTCTCCAATCCCAAGACTTTTTACATTTCTTTTAGTGGCTATCTTTTTTTTTTTTTTTTTGAGATACCACCGCCCGACTTTAGTGGCTGTCTTAGAAGATTATTTTCTATTTATGTGTGTGCGTGTGACAGAGAGACAGACAGAGACAGAGAGACAGAGACAGAAACAGTAACAGAGAGGTATTTAAATGTCCTCAGAGGCCAGAAGAGGAGACAGGAAAGCCTGTGTCAGTGAAGCATCTGCCTCAGTGGGAGTTATAGGTTGAACCAAGAGTGATGAAAGATTGACCCCATGTATTCAACGTGGGCCATGAAATAACCAGTCTTTAAGAAATATTCTGTGCCAGGCGATGGTGGCTTGCGGCTTTGACCCCAGCACTCAGGAGGCAGAGGCAGGTGGATGTCTATGAGTTCCGGGCCAGCCTGGTCTACAGAGCAAGTTCCAGGACAGCCTCCAAAATAATACAGAGAAACCCTGTCTCAAAAAGAAAGAAAGAAAGAAGGAAGGAAGGAAGGAAGGATGGAAGGAAGGAAGGAAGGAAGGAAGGAAGGATGGAAGGAAGGAAGGAAGGAAGGAAGGAAGGAAGGAAGGAAGGAAGGAAGGAAGGAAGGAAGGAAGGAAGACCAAGCTGGTGGTAGCGCGCACCTTTAATCCCAGCACTCCGGAGGCTGAGGCAGGCCGATCTCTGTGAGTTCCTGACCAGCCTGATCTACAAGAGCAAGTTCCAGGACAGCCTCCAAAGTCACAAAAAACCCTGTCTCGAAAAAAAAGACAAAGAAAAAGAAAAAACCAAACATTCTGCAATACACAGATGCACTAGATTTGGTTCCTGTGGACCTAATTGGTCAGGAAGAAAGGGAGAATAGAGGCTGGGTTGGGGGCAGCTGTAGACTCTCAGCTCCCTGTGGAGCCACCCCAAGCTTGAATACTTGCCATACTGTGGGGCGATGGGGGGGGGTCAAAAAGTCTTGAGCAGATCCTCTCAGACTCCTTTTCTGATTCTCCTCTTCCCTTCCTGATAGATCTTGCCATCAAGACAAGGATGACCTTGAACTTCTGATCCTCCTGCTTCTAGGATTATAGGAGTGCCCCACCACACCAGTGTCTGGTTTATTGAGATAGCGAGTGTCTCAAGTGACCAAGGTCAGCCTCAAACTTTGCTTTGTGTTTGAGCTGGCCTTGAACTAGTAGTGATCCTCCTGCCTCTGCCTGGTAAGGGCTAGAATTCCAGGCCTGTGCCCGACTCTTGTTTTGTTCTGGAGTTTCTTGCTTTGTTTTGATTTTATTTTTATGCACTTCTTTTTAACATTTGTTTATTCTGTGGATGTTTGTTGGGGGGCACCCAGGTGAGCGTATGCACGGAGGTCAGAGAACAACTCGGACAACTTGTCAAACCCGAGGCTCTCCTCCCACTATGTGGGTTCTGGGAATCCAGTTGGTATCATCGGACTTGGCGCAGGCACCTTTCCTGCTAAGTCATCCCCAATCCAACTCCTGGTGTTTTGTCTTTTTCAAATATATATAAACACACACACATATATGTATATATATATACATATATAATGAGTGTAACCTGCATGTATGTACGTGCGCCATGCGTCCGATGCCTTTGGAGTTCAGAGTCCCAGGAACTGGAGTTACAGGAAGTTATGACCCAGCCAACATGGGTTCTGGGTTCTGGGAACTGAACCCAGGACCTCTGGAGCACAGAGGAAGCTCTTGTCTAAGGAAGCCATCTCTCCAAACCCAAGACTTTTTTTCTTTCTTTTATTTTTTTTTTTTTTTGGTTTTTCGAGACAGGGTTTCTCTGTATTGTTTTGGAGGATGTCCTGGAACTAGCTCTGTAGACCAGGTTAGTCTCGAACTCACAGAGATCCGCCTGCCTCTGCCTCCCGAGTGCTGGGATTAAAGGCGTGTGCCACCAACGCCCGGCGGTTATTTTTTTAATTTACACGCATTCATACACTGTGTGACTGTGTGTGTGTGTGTGTGTGTGTGTGTGTGTGTGTGTGTGTGTTGCACTTGGGATTGGGATTCCCAGGAGCTAGAGTTATAGTCGACTGTGAGCTTCTAAACATGCAATCCAGATTCTCTGCAAGAACAGCAACAATTCTTAGTCACTGAGCCATCTCTTGCTTTGTAGCCCAGGCTGGCCTGGAGCTCAGTGCATAGTACAAGTTGACTTCAAATTTAGGGTTATTCCGGCCCAGACCCTCCAGAAAGAGCAGAACTTGAGCTCTTCAGGCAGGGCTACAGCGTCTTC